GAAGAAATGGCAATTAATAACCGAAGTTTCCTCGTAAAGAAAGTTAGAATCATTTTGCAGCGAGCGCAATCTGAAATATTTGTGGACAATACACGTTTATATGTTTCTTTGCCCTCTTTCTCATTTATATCAATACTAGACCGTTGTAGCAAACGAGACGGGTTATTTTTGTGGAAACGCCGGAAGAAAGATGTGACCCTCATAAGTTTCATGTCCGCACACACTGTTTTGCTGTTTATTATATCAGACGGAAACGCAGAAGCAGCATTCGGTAATTACAGCTGAAAGTCTGGACGTGTCTGAAGTTTCTCGAATTCCAGAACGTTCTCCCGAACTAGGTATAACAAAACTCGTACATTCCGCGTTTATATACACGCAGACACTGAGAAATGGATACATCTATTCAACCATATTAAAGCAATAGGATAGGACATTCGGAATTCTGTTGAATTGTACCTTTTACATTGCTCACATTATTACGATCGATCTTCGACAATCCCCCGCGATAAATTTTTAGATGTTCAAAATGCAGATAGATCCCTACACTATTATTTACTGTAGACGTCTCTCGCTCGCCGTATTTGTAGCTCAAGTGACAGTCGTTTCATCAACTTTTAGCGGTTTCATCATTTTATAAAGATGTAGAGTAACATAATGGTAAACACTTTTTTGGCCGACATCTAAATGACTCGCACATAAAATATTCAATATTGTATAGTCTAGAAATGTTATTTTTTAGCTGATTATGTTTACTATAAACGTTACCTACAACTTAAAAAAAATTTCATCGTGTTATGATAAAAAAAACTTGTAAAATATTTTCGTAACCATTTCTGACTCGTGTAAATAGCATTTTTAATTTCAAATTACACGACCAATGATGTCTGAAACGTGATCTAATTTTGATAAGTTGAATAAATGTGTAAATAAATATAGCAAACGAGCGCCAACCAAATTTTGAACCTGATGTTAGATTTACTCTTATTCAAACTGCATATGTATCAAATCAAAAGACTCAACTTTTGGCATTGCGTGTTATATGACTAAAGCTATGACCATATTGAATTCCATGCAATTCGGTTATACCTAACGGAGATGTCAAAAGGACTTTATTTATTTCCTGACATTGCCAATTCACGAGCCATGATTCTACAAATTTGATAAAGAATCCACTTGCAAAATTTCATCGTAATTGGTCGACTCGTTTGCGAGATATCGTGCTAACTGACTTGTAAGCGGGTGGTTCGGATTCGATTCGTTGCATGAAAGTAATTTTGCAGCACCATAAAGCTGGACCACATGTTGCAAAACCAATTGAAACCTTTTTGGAACCATGGATATTTGACTTTGCCGTCGATGTTGATGCATGACCGGGCGATCCCCACGATTTTTTGCGCTTTGGATTATCGTAATGTACTTTTCAACGCCAGTTACAGTACGATGTAAAAAAAAGTTCCTTTTTTTCCGTTGGAGCAGCTGTTCGCACGTGAAAAACGTCGTTTAACATCTCTTGGTTTCGAATCGTATGGCACCTCCTTGCTTTTGAATCATTCCCATAATTTTCAGACGTTTTGAAATGGCTTGTTGACTTCCACAAATTCTGATTTTTCCCCAATTTTGGAAATTTTCCATCACTGTTATTTGAAGACTAAAAGTGCACTCGGATGACCTGTAGCGGCACAATAAAGAGCTAAAGTAATAACTCTGCCACACAACTAATTTACATCTAAACTAACCGGATTTACAGAGGAAATACATAGATGGCGTAAGAATGTCGAAATGAGAGTAAGAATCGAATGTTAAATAAATTTAAAATGGTCAAGCAAAATAAAAACACAATACAGAGTTCTATGAATACTGACACACTTCTAACAGAAGCCCTATCGCGATCTGATCTTTCTCGTCTGCCAATAAAGGGTATAAAGATACTCCCAAACAAGCAATGAGTTCGGCCCTTTGTTTTTAATTATTCCTGATCAGCATTTTTTTTCCCACTCCAATCACGTTTATTAATTACATGCAAGTAATTAATAAAAATAAAATGAGGTTAGGTCGTGTCGAAAGTTCACATTACCGGTTTCTTTTTTGGTTTTTGCTCTTGCTGTGACCTCATAAATAAATTTGCACACCAACATAGTTTCTTTACCTACCGAAAGAAAATATTACATTTTGGAAATCTACATGAAAATCTACGTCGACAGTTTGTAACTATGAGGGAATATCGAATATGTCAAAAGTTCCAGAGATCACAACGGCAGACGCCCCTAAATTACACTCGCCCATCGTAGTTTCTTTCGAAGACACAGAAATGGTGGGATGGTACTCTGACTGAATTAAATTTTCATGTTCGTGTTCCTTATGATGCGCCTCTTAAATTTAGTTGAATGTCCCACACATTAATTTAAATGACAAAACACTATGGACTATGAAATGTTATCGTCCCTTACGTTTAAAAATTTGGTTTTTATTAACAACGTTAGACGATATCCTAAATAATTCAGGGTCTAACAATCACTTTAGATAGGGATGTAATATTTATTCTTTTAAAATCCCAAAAAGTAGAGCATTTCAGACGCGATTACAATCGAAAACCCTCTTGCAACTGACGGGTAGATTTCATTCAATTCTACATACTAAAACATGCTTATTCCATCTTTTAATAATGTTCGTTCACAAAAAAAAACATCTTGCGTGTAGATATTTCAAGCTAAACATATACATATTCCATCATTCAAGGATCGACTGCAATGTTAATGTTTGCACAACAAGCCAAACTATAACGTGTCTTAAGGTGTCAATTTTCATTTTTATCGTGTTATTCTCGTCCAGGAACATTTCTGGTAGGGCAATAATCACGTCTTCTTCATTGTTAACCAGATAAAGTATTTAAAATTAAATAAATCTTTGATCGGGAAACTAGCTTTTCCATACTCAATAAAAAACTTCTTTGTCAGAAAAAAATACGTTAACTCATCATGCTTTCTACGACACTCGTTCTTTGTAAGGTAATTTACTGGGGACCAGGTCTAGGGTGTTGGGTGTATGCGTGATTTCTCCAAACCTTAGCAACACGGTATCACCTTAGCAGCGCGTTTCCGTGCATAAGGATCGCCCCGATACTCTTCTCCGTGGCCTGGTCGCAACGTGCATGAATTCTTAGTTGCCATATTCCCACTGACGCTGGTCGTAATGTCCACTTTTGTTACAACTTTTGTATTATGTAATGTACAGAGTGTTCTATATAAAAACTTTTTAGGTTAGGCTGCACACAAATTCTGATTTAGATCAACTTTCATCTTCATGTACACACGCTCCGACTGTACATAACCTTTGAATAATTTTAAATTCAAAGACATAACGAGATACCTTTCTCGTAGTATCTGAATCCCATACCTCATTTGCAACAAGAACAGAAAAGATTCTGGTAGGTAGTTGTAATTACAGATGTATTCGCTCTTTGATCGTTGGCGAAACTCTGGTTAGTGGGTGCTTGAAGACTAAGGCTTTTCTTCGGCAACAAACTATCGATAACCACAGCACTCCGACTAAACTTCTTCGTAAACGAGAAATTACGCCTCCCCTTAACTCGACTTAACTTTCCCTTTTATCACGACGTAAAGAAAATTCTTTAAACATTCCTTAGATTTCTTCTACACAACTATGCAATTAAATAAGGTAGACTGTCTTTTCAAATTCACCCTAAAAAGGCGCGATTCACGTCCGTCTTCTATTTAAAACAGCTTCCCTTTTATCAACTTCCGCTTGAATGATAAACTGAACCTGTGTTTTTTATCTTGAAACTAATTATCATACGCCGCGATAACAAAACGTCTTGTCTACAACCGTAAATCGTATGCAATGATTTGAGTAATGAACAAACAAATAAACAATGTGATTATTTAAACAAATTAACAACTAACAATTCTGATATAAAACCAATCCGGTACCTACTTTCATCAAAAAGTTGTGGAATGTCGTTGCAGAAACACAACTAATCTTAACGTTTACTATAATCCATGGGTTGGAAAATGAGACTGCTTTTCTTCTGCTTCAGAGTTTTGTGTGGTGGCCAGTGTTACTGAAAACGGGTCTTCAAAAAGCTTAAAAGAAAGAGAGAATAAAATACACTTTTTTTCACTACTAGCGTCTGATGACATGATTATTAACCTTTTTTTCACTTGTAAAGTAGGCTTTCTCGGCATTTGTTCAAAGTGGTTAATAATTTTTTATTATTAACTAGTACCTAGTCAATAATGAGAACTGTCACGCTGTCACTTTTAGAAAACACAACCCGAAATTTCGCTCCATGAACGTTTAGACAAGTTCTTTAAAACGAATAATTGCCACCATTCGCAATTTCCAGAGAAATCACATACCTAAAATTATCACATTTTGAAAAAATTCGAACGAAATTACTCTTTGAAAAATCTCAATGACAGAACAAAATACGGCCTGTTTGACTTGTACTTCCACGTACTTGATTGACATGTTAAATTAAGAAACAAACAATTCTGTCCAACCGTTAACTCTCTTATCAATATAATATGTTAATTTAGAGGATTTCAAGTGCTAGTAGTGAAAAAAATAGTATATATACCACGGTAGAGAAGTCTATTATTGCCTTCGCACCTTACACCCCTCGGCGCAAGCGCCTCGAGATGTAATCTTGGTGCTAGGCAATAATAGTGGACTTCTCTACCTTGATATATAATGTACTATTTTTCAAAAAAAAAAGAAGCACTAAATAAACTTTTTATTTTTAAGAAGACACTATTAGGATTGCGTTCAACTTTTCAATTAGATTGTCATTTCATTCATCCAGATTACGTTGAACGTCTATAAAATGCTGTACAATGCAGGTGGTTATCGAATTCTGTTTGCATTTTGACGTTTCATTAAGTTATTCTCGTTGCGATTTTAAAATTTTCGTTGAAAAGCTTGCTACGTGTTTTCTTTTAGAAAGACAGAAAATTAAAGACAGTTTTTCTCTTTGATTACAGGGTCAAATTATGCAACCGAACCAAAAGAAAATTATAATGAGCAACAGTGATCTCGCATTGCAAGGAATTTCTAGAAACCAAGCTGGAAATTATTCATGTACAGCTTCCAATGTCGAAGGGGATGGAGATAGTAACGTTGTCGAATTAAAAGTGATGTGTAAGTATGGGGATATTGTACTTCGCTGTTAATAATGACGGCGAACTCTTAATTAATATTCAAGAACTTTGTTGTTTATTTAAGTGACGGGGTTTTCGTAATTGCAGATCCTACACACAATAAGCGTTTGTAAAGAGTTTCTTTTTCCTTTTGAAAGAAATTAATTCTATTTGTCCTTTCACAAAAACCATCGCTATGAATTTTTTAAATACTAAATCAAAGTAAAAGTTAATTGAAATGGAGTCTCAGTGTTCTACAGGGGTTCGTATTAATGAAATTTGTCACAAAAATGTTTATAATTATTTCACTACATTAATTAATGGTTATAGTGAAGAAAAATTGTTGTTTTCTTTAAGAATCAGCCCAGTGGTTATATCAAGTTGTAAGTAACATGAAATAAAATACCTATTTAACCACCTTTTTAGCCAGTATTGCTCAGTAAACAGTAAATTTGCATCAAAATCAAAGAAAATGAAGGTGTGTGAACTTTAGCTCTTTAAGTTTCGATCAAACGACTCGTGTAATAAAGGTGTTTTCTTCGAACTACTCAAAATAAACAATGTAACAATACTAAAAGAAAATTATAATAAAAGAAAAAAAGATTCGAAATCTAATAAAATTAATAAAGACATAACAGAAACTCAAAAGAAAAAAATTTAGGAAAGATAGAAATTAAGGAAATTAAAAAAATAATAGATAAAAATTGTGAAATAATTTGGCAAGAAGAATGGAATCGAGCTAATACGGGAAGGGAAACTCATCAATATATACCAGATATAAAAGAAAGAAAAAATGGAAAAATTGGATTCCAAATCGAGGAACAATTCAAATAATAACAAATCACGGTTTAATTATTACTCATTCGAAATTAATAAAATAGAAGACTCAACATGCGATTGTGGACAAAGAATAGAAAACGGTGAACATTTAATAAACGATTGTGAAAATTTTGAAATTGAAAGACAAGATTTTAGAGAAATTTTAGCATCAAAATCAATTATAGATTGGCCAATTAACAAGAATGAATTATTAAAAAATGAAATTAGAAAACATTTTGGAAATGTTTGCAACAAAATTCAAAAGAAAAATCTTGGAAAAATTTTAGATAAAGAAATTCTTTAATATGTAGAGGCCTCCCCGCGGCTAGGGACGGGCAACGAAGTCTAGGTTACTCTTAATAATATAAAAGAAATAAAAATACTAGATACGGCTAACGTCTACATATATGAAATTAAAAGAAGAGAAAAAAAATTAAAAAAGAAAGAAAAATAGATATTTCCACGTGATAGCCAGAAGGCTGAATACGTGTAGTAACTAACTAAAAAAAATAAACTAGTACCTAAGTCAAGAGCGGACGGTTTGTCGATGTGCATTTTGGAACAAATTAATCCCATTTTAAAAAATTCGCCCGATAAACTGCTTGCTCAGACGTAAGGTGGCGCGAGCTGCGGTGATGCCTGAACAATTGGCGGTGTGAACGTGAAAATAAAAGAAGTATACAAAACTGGACACTACATAAGTGTATTGTTACGCCCACCAGCTGAATAAGTTATTGGAGCAAGCTAGTGTTCGTATTTGTTTCCTAAATTTAAGTGGAATTGCGCATTTTTTTTTCTAATTCTCCAGACAGAACTGCAGCTATATAAGCGAATAAAAAGACTTTCGCAAACTCGATGGAACTTCCGATCTCGGGCGGTACAATAACCTGTATTTGAAAATAAAGACAGTATCTTGGGCGTGTTTTGAAAATATAACGTCAGGAATTCCAAAAATATATAACAAGGAAACAACGAGATACCTGCTGTAGCAGTAGATCTTTTGTGAATACACGTGCATTATACAAGTTATACATGTGTATGATACGCACTAAACTGGAATACTGCTCACTAGTTTGGTGCCCCCACTACGCAAACCAAAAAACGTCGCTAGAATCCGTTCAAAGAAATTTTTTGGGATTATTAAAGTTTAAAGACACTGGTGTTTATCCGCAAAGAGGAATTTCTCAAGAAAGTTTGTTAACCGAGTTTGACTTCAATTCCTTAGAAGAAGGGAGATTTACTAACAGCATCGTCTTTCTGTTCAAGATTCGTCATCATCACTTAGACTGCCCGACACTTCTATCACAACTATATTTTAATACATTCCGAGTTATTAATCACGAAATCCTTTAACTTTTACATATCCAACACCTAGAACAAATATCCTTATGAAATCACCAATACATACCATTTGCCGAAACTACAATTCTATTTCAGACATACGCGACATATTTCATGGTCCTTTCATTCGTTTATTTCAAAACTTTCTAATCAACAACATTAACCTTAATGTTACACTGCACTACAAAGTTATCATTTTATTTACAATTTAAGCATTATACTTTCTTTACAATGTGTCTATATTATTCAATATTTTTTAATTTTTTATTTGGTATTAGTTTTACTTTTATTCGAGGTGCGTATATACAAATTTACACTTAACACAAACTTAAGATAGAAAATATAATAATTTAATCTGTTTTACCATATTTGATTGTCAAAATAGATATGTTTAAATCTTAAAATCAAAAGACATGCTCTATAGGTAGAGCCCACAACGCAAATGCAAAAATACCTTTTTTTGCTGAAAACATTAAAAAAATTACTTCTAGCTTAATGTCAAAGTTGAAATTCATACTACAGTTAGTGTTGCCGCGATTCTAGACGAGACCAAGTCAAAGTCTCGTCTCGTCTAGTCTCGTTTGGTCTCGCCATACTACCCAAAAATGGTGTAGGTAGAGCATATAAAAGGCATTACGAAGGCACGATAAGTAAATATGACCTTTATCTATTTGCTAACCACGAAACATAATTTCTTCTGTTACGCGTATTTTAAGGATTTTCTTTAGCATTCTGCAGCTAAAAAATATTAGCTTTCATAAAATGTATCTGCTAACGTAACTAGGTAGGAAAGTCGCCGCCATTTCTAAACGGGAACCAATTAAAAAGATCTCTCACCTTGGAATAGGTACATGAGGGAATTCAACCAGCAACCAACCATTTTTAAACTTCCTCGCAGAAAGTTGGTAATCGTAGGAACACCTACACCGTATAGTCTAAGCGGTACACAGAAAAATCTGACGAATAATGCAGAAAGCCATGCCGTTTGGCATGGTCAATTTTTATTTTCAATACATCGATTTGGCCCACAGCACCCCCTTCCATCACCATGTGGAACCAATATGGCGGCTGTTTAAGAAAAAATCTTAGTAAAAAAATATATATTTGTATTTCAGATGAAAGCACAGCTTTTCTTAGTTTCGCTACAAATCTATTAACTGCTAAAGCGTCGTCCTCTTGGTCGGAATAATTAATGTTATTTATGACATTTAGTTCATTAGGTAAAAGAATATATTCTTTCCCTGATTTATGTTCTTTTAAATCCGAAAAATGGGATACTTTTTGACGAAACCTTTGTGTCTGCCCCTCGCTCTCCGGTTCTCTTCCAAGAAGCTGGGTTAATCTTGTCTTATAAATTTTTCGCAGATGACCCACACGAAATACACAGTTACGCTCAAGAGCGTCAAGTTCACTTTGCATGTAAATTAAAAGATCCGCAAATACAATTTCTTCATCTACACCACTTTCATCTTGCTCAGTAGTTTTTTTTCTAACCTCAGTATACAGCTTTGACAAGCATATACGGTGATACCTGCTTTCTTGTGCCATAAGGTCACCTTGAGTAACCAAGTGTGCAATAAGTTTGGTGTCCCCCAAAATTTCAGCATACCGTTTTATTGTTTTATAAAATTCTGTTGTTTGAGACATATGAAAAGGTTCCTTCCTAGTGCCTTTTTTTTTACAGATGAAACACTTGAGTTCCTTTGGTTTGAGAGTTTCAACCTTGGAGCGAGTATCTTTTGGTGACAGCTCATGCAGTTGAGATACTGAGGTAGATGCTTCAGTTTCAGAATTACCTGGGCAATTCTTTGTTAAATTTTTAATTATTGTATCTATGTTCTTTTCACTATACTTTAAAACGCATTTATTGTGCCATTTGGCTTGGTTTTCTTGAAGTATTGTTTGGATTCCGCCACCCACACCTAAATCCGAAACCGGAATATTAATAGGTAAAACATAATTGTAGTCCTTTAGTACATTTAATCTGGTTGCTATAGACTCATAGCCTTTATTCATCATAGCTAGGTTGGGATTGTTTGCAGGACACTCAAGAATACCTCCATCTTTCTGACATAAACAGGCGAACATTCCAGAGAATATTTTGTCGTTCAGGTATGCATTCCTTAAAAGCTGGCACAACCGCTTTTTCCTTATTCACTTTACTTTTAATACTCTTCATTTTCAAAAATATCTAAGATAAAAAATCAGTTGCTTATACAACCAAATATTTTTAGATTTAAATTTACGTATTTGCCTGTACAAGTACAGTCGTTTAGTAAAATGTAACTGGAATCACTGAAAGTAGAACAACTGTGACCGTTGAACCACAAAAATGTGGTTTATTGGTGTTTTTGGTTTTACTTTTTATTAGTAAAATGTATTTTTTTACGAAATCAAAATTCTAATTATTTATCCGACAATTATTTTATGATTTAGATCGAGATTAAAACAAAAAAAAATATATTAACTGGAAGAAGTATTTTTATAATATTTAAATGACTAATTAGTGTAAATTGCTTGAATTTTGATTTTTTTGTAGCAGATTTGAAATCGGCGACCTTAAATTATCCTTAAACGAACATCCGCATGCCATCCTTGAAGTATAAATATATATTTTTTAGTCAGTCACAGTTTTTTTCCTAAATGGCCGTCATATTGGTTCCATATTGGAAGGGAGTGCTGCGGGTCAAATCGATCTATTGGACATACACATCGTTTAGGGCAAGTGGCTTGCTTTCTGCATATAACCTGAACGGGGAAAATGGTTATAACAATAGTTAGTCGTTCTCTTGATGAGTATACTTTTTTACTAAAGTACGGTAAGTGTGAACACTGGATCAG